AAATTGAATATGGAGAATGGAAAGGAGAAGGGCAAGGTAATGCACATGATGGTTGGGGAATTACTGGAAATACCATTGTTACATCATAAACGTTCTCACACTGTGTTGTGGCTTGGGAATGCATCCCCATGTTGAGAATGTACAGTGCTTCACAGAAAGCTCTTCACTGCTAGATAGGGAAGTGGACTCTGCCCCACAGTCTCAAGAAAAAAATCTTGCTGGGAACTTGAAAGTGCATGTTGACTTCCAGAATGGTTGGATAATAAATTTTGTTCTTATATGCCACCAAGTTAGTGGTAATTTTTAAATTTTCAGCAGTAATAAGAGCTTAAATAAATATATATGCTATCAGAACAATATGAGCAACTGAAGTCGGCAACTTCCAAAGTTGTGCTCACTCCCATCAGTCATCAGCTCCACTGGAAATGCAGAGAGAAAACAGAATAAAGAGACCAACATACCCATATCAAGAAAATCACAAGAAAATTCTATATTCCCAGTTTTCTAGCTTTTATGCAAGAGAAAAGACAAAAAAATCTTAAAGAGAAAAAAAATAAGAGTTAAATTAACATGTGCAATACTGACTTAATTCACATCTCCATGTCCCTCCTGCAATATGTCCTTTGATTATGTGAAGTTCATTGCAGCTCTGTGTAGATTAAATTGAATAGTGACATTCCCAACTGGACTACCAGATGGAATCACATGTTAATTAACTTTTCAACCAGCATACAGATGTGTTTCTTGTGATCATTATCAAGAAATCGTTCGCTTTCAGCAAAATGAGCAGCACTGCTGACAGATTATAGCTGAGAATGATTGATCACATCATAAGATCATTAACCTTAAAATATTTTAATCATTTATTGACCAAACAAAGAAAAAGCTTATAGACCAGTATTGAACATACCTAAAGTCAATCTCCTTTTTTGGAGATTTTATTAAATATTTACATAATTGAATATTTGTGTATATTATTAAGTTTCAAGGAAGTCATATGTCTTCTACATCTATACTTTCATGCATTAATGAAAGGCTTATGCCACCAGGAAATAAAAGAATTTACCTAGATGCCATTTTTTATTCTTCATCATCATTTAATAATTCCAATTCAAATCTGATGATTTAAAGATAATAGGTGGTATGTCTAAGCCTTCAACAACTTTACACTTTGAAAAACATAATTTAAATTAATAAGTTATCCTTAAGTAGAAAATGTTAAGTGGATATAAATGAAACATAAAAGATAATTTAAAATTATTAAGAGACTGCAAAGTGTGTATCTGTGAATAGGACTCCTATATGAAACCTCACCCACCCATGGCTCAGAAACCATTGCTGAAGAGGGGGCAGAAAGATTATAAGAGCCAGGATTGGTTCACGAACAAAGATGAAGCAGAGGCTTTCAGGCCACTAGAAGCTTGCACATGTGAACTTGTGGCAATAGTGGCATCGAGCACAGGACCCATGCCTACTCTATCAGACAAGGGCCTAGAGTGGAGCAAGGGAAATGGGTGGCGGGCCAGCCCTAGTCTGGGAACTACTGGAGACTGATCACTACTGGGTGAGGGACAGTAGGCCTTACCAACAATCTGTAGATAGGCTGACTAGGCTCCAGGGGATGAATTTGCACTGAAGGACATCTGGGTACAAATGCTTGACTAGATAGGACTTAACATGTATGGCAGAATAGACGAGGCCTGGTTGGGGGGGCATGGATGGAGGAAGGAGGTCTGAATTTGATTAATAACTGTTGCATGACATGTAGAAAAGCTCAATAAAAAAATTAAGACCCTTATGTAAGTGGATAATGCCAATTACATCATTTATTACTTGTTTTACTTCAGTGGCTTTAAGCTCCCAGTAATTCCATGTATTAGAGATTCAGCTACTGTTAATTCTGGTCACAAAGAACTAGTCATAAGAGGAAGCACTTTCTAGAATTTAAAAACTGTTCATTTGATTATTCTAAACTGTATAAGTAAAAGGCAATATGTGGACTGTTGCTATTGTTATCAGTTACTGAGTTATTTTAATATATTCACTAACAAAGGGAAGAAAAAAATAAAAGTCCTTTTAGACTTTGAGAAAATACAAGGCAGGAGCTTCAGAAGGTCAGAGTCAAGCCCATGTTATTTGGTGTATATGGTTTAAGATGTGAAGGTAAAAATCATTCATCACCCATTTCATCTTTACTTGTAAAAGTCGGTGTGTCTATTAACCTAGGGATAAAATGTTCACTGAATTGGTTGAAAATGGAATTCAGGTTTCTAGCACTCCAAGATAATTTATGTACTAAAAGAAACTGAGATTCTTTTCTTGGATTCCTGATTAACTGGAAATAACACCTAAATGTATTGGACATCAAATGCAGTTGGTACCTAAGCCTCCTTTTAAGTTCAAACTACGTCCGATGGAAGTCCAGTTCTCAAAGCTAATAAAGGTGGAATTTGCTTGGTGGGACTGAGATTGGAGTGGGGAGTAGGCCCCACTCACACAGTCCCACTCCCTACTGCAGACCCAGCCCAGACTGACAGTTACTGCAGTCCTTCAGTTCAGGCTGACTCACCTTGCCTTTTTGAGCATTGTGTTCTGGAATTACCAGGAAGCCTCAATGCCATACCGAGCTGGCCCAAGTCTCTCATCCTTCAGTCAGGTAACTTGTCCAAAAAAACTTGCCTCTAAACATATGTGATTTTATTTATTTATTAATTTGATGACTTTAATAATCTTCAAAGCTCTATTATAAATGACCAGACATACATTTTCAAAGGAAAAGGGAAGTTTTCTTATAATTTCCAGACATTTAACAACAAAAGAGAGTTAATATCAATCTTATATCAACACAACATAAGCAAATTAAGGAGAAACAAGACCTGTCTGTGACCAGAAAGTGTATTCCTGTAATGTCTCAGATCTTTCAATTCAAATTTGCACGATACAGGAATTAAAACTATGACATGCTAAAAATGACTTTTTCAATTTAACAGTAACTTCATATTTAGACATTAATTTTAATATGCTTTCATTCACAGATTTTTGCCATTATTTGATATTATAGGATCTGATGTTGACAGAGTCCAGCTGAAAACACAGTTCTGTTCTGACTGCCACACGCAAGCTCTATCACTGTATTACTGTTGTCTTTTCCCTATTTTCTCAATTACTTATCTCTTAAATGGGATTAACACCTATTTTTATTTATTGTGTTCATACATATTTGAAAAAAAGAATAAAAACTTAAAATATATAAAAAGTTTTAAAAGGGCCTCTACAAAGTAGAGAGCATCTCTATCAGTTAAATGCTTTTTAGTAATGTTCCTCCCACTTTTTGGAAATGTTGAAGGGAGTACACAACACAGAGATCTGTTGAGTAGGACATTTTAAGATCTGAGCCAAAAAATATAGAATGACTACAGCAAGACTGTCATTTTAAACTAAATTTGAAGATTTGTGGCAGCTGCCTGAAAGCTGACTTCAGAAGTCTGACCCCTGGGTGTTTTATACCTACAACTAGAGAGACCTAGAAGAGGCTTCTAAATGACCAACAGCTGCATGGGGAAGACCAGGCAAAGGAAAACATACCCGTCACACTGTCTAGAAACCCAGCAGGTTGTTTTATTGCCAAAGCTTGCTCCAAACTCTTAAGAACTTTTAAAAAATAAGATTGGGAGACCCAATCTTAAGTTTATCTTAAGATAAACTTTAGGGCTACAGAAATGAAAGAAAAGGGAGTAGGAATTGGAAAAGTGAGCAATGTAAGACGACCACATGCACAAGCCCACTAATAATTTTAAACGTAGTTGGCTGGATTCGACTCATGACTTTTCATGGCTGTTGTTGGCTGGTTTTATCAACTTTATTGTTAGTCATGAAAATGTTTTGATAACTGTATGAGAATTAAAATATATATATATATATATAATGGCCTCGTTATCTCAGTTTCCTCTGCTTAACAGCTTAACACACGGACACCATACCACATCAAATATTCCAGCCGTGAAACTCTTTCATTCTTATATAAATTCTAATCGCATGAAAAGTAAATTTTAAGAAGACATTGAGATAGCCCACAAAGTTGGCTTTTTTCTTCACAAACAAGAAATTAGAAAGAAAGTACAGCAGTAGAATACTGAGTCAGTCACTCAGTAGCCATCTTGGTCATCTGACTGTCATACTAGGATTATAATGTTCAAGAAGTCTTTCTGTTAGCAATGGCTCCAAAGCACAATCATAGTGATATTGGTAACTGAAGTATGACAAAGAGAAGCCACAAAGTGCTTTACATGACAAGTTAAAAGTTCTTCACTTAGTAAGGTAACCAAAAAATTTATATACTGAGGCTGCTAGGATACACAATCATGATGAATGTGTTGTACGAGAAACTGTGAAGAAGGAGAGAGAAAAGTGTGCTGCTTTTGTTATTTGCAACTAAAATTTGGAAGTTATAGCCACAGTGCATAAAGGCCACAGTGCTTAACTGCTTAGTTAAGATGGAAACGGTGGGCTAGAGAAATGGCCCAGAGGTTATGAGCACAGACTGCTCTTGCAGAGGACCGGGGTTTGATTCCCAGCACCCACATAGCTGTTAACAACCATCTGTAACTGCAGTTCCATGGGATCCAGTGCCCTCTTCTGACCTCTACGGGCATTTCATGACATGGGCTTTCATGCAGGCAATACACTCATACACATTAAAAATAAAATTTAAAATTTTTTAAAAAAACATGGAAAAGGCATTAAATTTGTGTATAGAGGGGCTGATACTGTCTGTGGTTTTAGGCATCCACTGGAGGTCTTAGGGCATTTCTTGGGGACTTCTGTAATTTATAACAGATCAATACAAAATGAATATAATAGTTAAGTGCACATTTTGAAAAAAGCCCCCAGAAATAATTCATCGGTATTGATTCTCAAAGCTGTTCTTTTAACATTTACATGAACACTAGAATCAGATCTACGAGTCACTGTTAAAATCATCAATCCCATGGAAGCCATTCTTACTCTTGCAGCTTCAGGGACTGAAACCAGCTTTGATGTCTAAAATTTACAGTGCCTTTGGGGGCAGCAGCATTTATCCATCTGTCATGTTTGCTCTTGGTTCATTAGCCCAGTAATTGTTACACCACCATCTTTGTGATCTTCAGTCATTTCCTCAACATGAAATTCTGGATTCACAACAACTTCTTTTCCCGATAACTGTAAATAAGCTGGTAGAGAAGATGGGACCTTGACAATAACAGAGCCGTCCCATGATTTCAGTTCCACTTCCCCCAGGTGGCTGATGTAAACATCGATGGCACCCTGGTGAGTTGAAGCTCTGAGACATCCAGAGGCTCTGAGACATTCATCTGAGGATGAATCTACTATGATATTACCATCTTGCTTTGTAATATGATTTACCATGAACACTTCCTAATGTAATAGTCCCAGCCACAGAAGACAGAAATGAAGATTCTGTATAAAGATACTTGGCTTTCAGCAAACCATCTTCAGTAGATATATTAACACAACTTCCCTGCAGTTCATCTACAGTCACAGTGTTTTTACCCAATGCATGAATATCTATATTTCCGTAAACTGTTCCCAGACAGATCACATTGCCTCCTTTTGTTTGAACATGCAATTTTTGACTCTTAACAGACGGAAAGATGCTGGTCCCTGCTCAGTTTCAATTTTGCAATTATCGCACTCTATATTTTGCACTTTCATACAGCCGGATCCTGATGCCTTAACATTCACATCTCAGCCACAGGCTTGCTTGCTGCATGACCCAGATGAGCTGCCTCCCGTCAGCCTGGAGGGTGGCATCAGCTCAGCTCTGTTAAGGAAGAACTTTGGTTGACAATGGGAATCTCAGCCACAAAATAAAACACATATGTGATTTTAAATTAAAATGTTCTAGGAAGAGACAAAAAGTAAATCAAATAAGAAAGAAAATACTGTGTGTGTGTGTGTGTACATATAAATGACATGAAAAAATAGAAGGGAATATTAGGGAAAAGTAGACTAGTTAAAGGGACAGAAGAGGCTGACTAAAGGGATGAATATGATCATAGTACGTGATATTTGAAAGAAAATATCATGAAAGCAATTACTCTACACTGAATATATACCAATAGTTTTTTATTTAAAAATTGAATAAAGCAACTCTATCCTTAATTCATATTTCATATATATGGTCTTTATGTAGACTCTCATAATGCATTTTTCAATATGGCTACACAGAAAAACTGAATCAAAAGTTAATAAATTAACCTCCTTGCAGAATGATTTCTATGAAATACCACTTTGATTCTTCTAGTAGATGGGACTAAAACTCTGTTAGAGAACAAATGGTATTCAGTATTAGGACAAGGCATGCTAATGCTTTCCTTGGTGAAATAACCACTTAGTTATTCTTTTACCAGGAGGCCGAAAGGCCAGTGAATTTAAAAACCCTGTAGTCAAGCAAATCTACATTGAAAAATGTCCATGATGTTGAGAACAGACTGCTTAACTCATTTAAAGAGTTGTTTGTCAGATATGATTTAAGTTAGAGTGGCCTGTGTTTTGTGGTATCTATTCTTTTTAAAGACCTTTCACTTTTTCTTTTGAATATTTTGCTATTCCAATAAATCTTACGTTCAGCTTTCTGTAAACTGGCCTTCCCAGGTTGTGAAAAGTGGTATTATTATGGACTCAAAATGGACAGAGGCAGAGGATTGAAGTGACAAGTAGGATTTAGCCTAGTCCACGTTGCTAACAGTCATGAAATTCAGATTCACATTTTCCCTAATGTTCATTCACAAATGCGTTGGCAATAGGCGTGGTTGGGTGAAGTCCCTGGCTGTGTCCCAACTTCTTAACACTAGATATCTTCACATGTAGACCTTGGATCCATTTTGCTGATGAGACACCAAGACAATACCAAGGCACAGGATGCGCAAATGTGGAACACGAAGGTCCCATAGGCTATGCCCTAGGTCCAGAAAGTTATGTTGGTAGTGAGTTTATATTATTTGAGGTTGCACAGTTAATGTCTCCCCAGCGACTAACATATGTAATTTCATTGATTTTTACAAATATTTTGATTGTACGAAGAACTTAGTTTAAAGAAAAAATTCCAATAGTGTCAATTTCCATTTTCATCTCAATATGATCACTACATCCATGGGAGGCTTCAACATAAAGAAGATGAAATGTGGCAGCCCAATTCCCTCTCCAAATGTTTGTTTACTTGGTTACTTTACTTGTTTCTGTGATATAAAAAAAAATCATGACAAACTAACTTAAGGAAGGAAGAATTTATTGGGGCTCACAGTTTAAGGTATACTCTGTCATACTGGGGAAAACCAAGGCAGTAGCAGTTGAATGAAGCTGGTCATATTGTGTTTACAGTCAGGAATGAGAGAGCAGTGAATACTACTGCTCAGCTTACTCTCTGTTTTATAAGGTCCAGGATCCCCAGGCCCCCTGGTCATAGACTGTGATCCCCAATTGCTGACAAAAAACTTTAGCCACTGGAAAAAAACAATCTCAATTTCTTTTTCTTTCCACATACTGGTTTTATTTCATTTTAAGTATCTTGGCTTCTTCTTCTAACACATCACAAATTGTCAGACTCCCAAACAAAATTATCTTAGGAATCTGTTTATGAACAAAAGTTTACATGAGACCCTTCAATACAATGCATGTCACTGAAATTTTATTGTACATTTCTGAGAGCATGTGGCAGAATTAGATTGCAAAGGGTGGGTTTTTTTCTTTTTAATTGGCTTCACTTGAAACCAGTTAGCTTTTCACAGTAGGAACTGTATTGATGGAACTGGCAGGGTTCTGAAGTACCAATTATACAAGGAGTCGTGAACTTCATCTCCTTCTTTACTTCTGTATGACTTTGGACAAAGCAGTTTTCTACTCTGCCTTGGAAATAGGTGTTGCTGTGATGGTGTAAGTATTAATTGTGTGTGAGTATTTTGTAAGTTGAGAATTAATATGTTGATGAGGCAGTGTTTGTGTTGTTGGGAAAGAGATGCAAGTAGCCTTAAAATGAAAAGCATTTGGAAGACAAGCAATTGCTGCATACACAGAACAGTGCCTGGTTATACAAAAGAATAAAATTTCTCTTGATGCTCATCAGAGGTAGCAAGGTTGCCACCACTTTATGGTTAGTAGATAAAGCCCAGTCCTTTGGATTCTCCTGATAATCTATCACTGGCCATACTCTACCTCCTTGAGGAGATGAAGACAACATGTGTATCTCCATAGTTTTCTCTGTCTTTGAGGGACTCTCTCATGCAGCAACATTATTGAAGTTGTTTACTTTTCTGTCAAGTGTTTAAAGCCTGTACTATCTCCTTGTATGCTATGTGTCCACTGTGTGCTATTGCTTCTGTACTTATCTGAGTGATTCCTCTTTTCCTTTTCAGACACCCAGTAGTCAGCAGCAGCTGAACAAATTGTCTCATCTCTGAGTCTTTTTTCTTGCAAGAAGGAAAATGATTTTTTGCATCATGGCTTCCCTTTATTCTGCATGACCTTTCCAAAAGGATAGTGTCCCACACAGCAAGACAGTGCTTGAGACACTGCTGGCCTTAAGTTTGGACATTAAACTGATAGAAAAAATGGGAGCCCTAGGACTATTAAGGGCTCAATACTTCACATCTATTTCAGTTGATACCTGCCGAGCATTATGTTCTAGGTAGGCTGACAAAGCTGTCATTATCTGATGCTAGAAATCCATATACATAGGAGAGGAGCCCCAGATAGCATATTTGAACTACAAAACTGCCATATTCTACCTCCTGGCTACTTGGATAGCTAGTAGAGAGTAACAACCCCAGTGTACTTTGTTGACCTGGAATTTGGGCTCTGAGGCTAAAATACCCGTGTCAATAGTAGTTCTTTGTTATATTGAACCAGATAAGTCTGTTGTGCAGTGTAGGACACTAAGTGACATCTCTAATGACTCTCCTACTGGGTACCAGTGGCCTTAACAACTCAGTTCATTTAGCTGGGAAACTCAGTGTCTCCAAATATTGCCAAATGTCCCCAGGTGGCAAAATCATATTTGGAAATAATTACTCTAACACTGGAATGGATAGTGAGATGGGAAGCAAAATTGCAAATGTATAATTTTGTCCTTTCGTTTCTTCTGTCTAACTTCACCTCTCTCTTCGTGTCTCACCTTCTTACAACAGAATCTAGTCTCCATGCTTCTGAAAAGTGATTGTTATTCTTATAAAATTATAAAGTGATGCGTTTGCCTCTTATCTAGGAGAGAAGTCTTTATTGGGTTAAATTGAAATAATGAAATTAATATCTGTGTGTGTTGAGTTGTTGAACATCGGCAAGGAAGGAGGTATAGTGTAAAAAAAGGGCAAACTAACTGTCCCAAAAATCATCTGTGGAGTTCTACCACTGCTCTGGGTCTCCTAGCCTTACCAAGTTCCCATTATTACATAATATTATTAATACAATCGGTGTATTCGCTGACATGATCTCACCTTAAATTCCAGGGGATACAGTCCTACAAATCTCATGCTGTATATTAGTATTTGCTGGGTCTTCCTCCCAATTTTCTTCCAGAAATAGTCATGGATTTTGCTCTGGGGTACGCTGTTCTTCCTCTATTTGTTCTGCTGATCTGAGCGTAAAGGTAACCTCCCGGCTGGAGGAGCAAGTGCCACAAGACTGATCTATTCCAAGGAGAGTGAAGACTTCCTTGGATTGTAGGAAAGGAAGAAAGCTCCCTTCCAAGCTGACTTGAACAAAGGAGACTGTAGCTCTCCCAGCTTTCCTCCATGAAATCTACAAATGAAACCATGCATGGAAGATAACAGAACTCCACAGACAGAGGAGCAAGTTGCTGGTGGTGACCATGGTGAGCACTGAAAATCCAACACTGGCACTCCAAGTTTCACACATAAATTGAAGCAGGATTTTCAGTTCTTTTATTTTAAAAAGTCATAACTGAAATATTCAGTTATTTCTAGTGGTTTCGGGGGGTATCTCTTGTGGACTCATGAATAATCTTTGCTCTCCACTGTTCCCCGTCTCTTTAGTGATCGTGGCTGTTCTGCTGCCATTGTTTTTGCTGGTGTTAGTACCTTGATGGCAAAATCCATGCAAAGAGAGATGTAGTTTAGTGATTCTAAACAAGCAAACATCCATTCTACCAGCATGGCTTTCTCTAGATCTTGATGTAACTTGAGTGAGGAGACAACCAACCTGCTCTGTTCGTTATCTTTGGATCAGTCAGCCTTCTGAGGGTGAAAGCTGTCTTGCTTGTAGCTCACAGAGGTGCTTCCTTCAGCCACTGCCTGGCAGTTCTCCAGTCAGAGGTATCAGACTCATGCAAGAGAGTCTCAGACCTCAAGGTCTGTAGCTTCCTTCCATCCCCATCCTATGTCTCTCTGGGCGTCTATGACAGCATCTGCCTCCTGCAGACAACCATCCATAATAACAGAACCATGGTGAGTAGACAGCAAAGAAGAAAACAGTGAAGGTAGACTCAGAGAAAAAGCATTTCTTTACATATTTAATGATTAAAATGCTAAATTAAAATTTAAAAATAGTATCTTTACCCAGGAAGAAATCTGAAAGGTCATCTAATTCAAAGGAGTTATTTTATCTTATTTTATGTTAAAAGTGACTGCATAAAAAAGAACATTTATCAACATGAAAGTAGAGAGGAGGTGGGGTGGAGGGGGACTAGGGTCGGTCATGGTGATGAAAGAGAGGAGGGGCAGAGAATTAATAA